GGAGCGCAGCTCGCTCAGCTTCCGCGGGTCCATGGCGGGCCGCGCAGCGTGCAGTGTAGCCCAGCGCCGGCCCCTCCTCTCCGCTGCCCGCCCCGCACCGCCTCCCCAGCCCCAGCCCCTGACCCACCCCCACCGCGACCCCGCCCCTCGACCCCGCAGCGCCGCTGCGGCCGGAACCTTCTAGAAGCAAGGCCCCCGGAGCACGTCCCACTTCCTCCCTCTACGTCATCAACAGCCGCCCTACTCCAATCCAGGACCCCACGGTGAGGGCGGAGCAGGTCGTTTTGCTCCACGACACTTTTTTTTTTTTTTTTTTTTTTTTTTTTTTCGGGGATTGTTGGGGGCAGGCGATTAGCGCGGCCACCTCCCCCGCTTGGCACCCGGCCGAGAGGAGGAGCTGGCGGATGACGTCATTAGCCAGCGCGGGAGGCCCCGCGAGCACCGGGGGGTGGGGGGAGCGGGTACTTCGCGCTATGGCCTGGCTCCCGGCTCAGAGGTGTCTCCCGGCCGCCCGCGGCTGGCGCAGCCGCGCAGGTCAGAGCCTCCACTTCCTTCTAGGCACGGATGCCCCCAGCTTGGCCCCCACTGCCCACGTGCTGGGGGTGGCGCCGGTGCTGCCAGGTGCACGGTCATGGTCGGATTTGTACGAACGTTTACCCTGTTGTACGAGCAGTAATGGTACAAGCGTTCAAAATTGTAGGATCATTTTGGAGGCAGCTTAGGCACGCAGCAGGTGGAAAACCCAAGTCACTGGCAAAACTGACTCTCGGGTTTGCTGTGACGGCTCACCTCAAGATTAGGGTTGCCAGCCCTCCAGGATTGCCCTGGAGTCTCCAGATATAAACCTCCAGGAGACTGCAGAGAGGCACCCAGGGGATGAATGACAGGGCATTCATTAAAATAAATATTAAATGTTGAATCTGATTTATGCAGTAGTTCAGTGGGTTTTAAAAATGTAATAGTCATGTGTATTTGCCTTCCTGACTAAGTCTGTGCGCTGTACTCCGTAACTGATACATGCAAGCATGCAGGCACATTCGTGTTGTGTGTCATGGGCACGTTGGCATTCCCGAAACTTCCCGGAATAGATTCAAACAGGGTTGACAGTCCTACTCAAGACACAGAAATGCTTAGACTGTGATGACCCAGCTCTCACTCGCTGGCAGCTTGCAGTGAACAATATAAAGTAAAGAAGATTTATTTATGTACTTATTTGCATAGTGTTTCAGCATGTGATAGCTTTCCAGCAAATATGATAATTTTGTGCTTACAATATGATAATTTCAAATTTAAGACCCGGCAATGCTGCTGCATGCACCTGCCCTCGTTGCCATCACAGCAGCTCGGAAGGAGGCATGTCTGTGTGGCTTCTCCTTCTCCATCTTTGCAGCAGGTCTTGGTGTGACCCTGCCAGGATCAGTGCAACCCCTTAGACCTGTGTGGGAAGGTGGCTGTCTTTGCAAACATGTTTCCCAATCGGTGTTTCTAGCATGTCTTGCATCAGGACTGAAGTGTTAGTAAAGCGGGAGTATAGCCCTGATGCACCAGAAAGGGTGCAAGAGGCAAGGGTTTCTTAGGGGAATCACTGTCCTTGGGCCAACCACAGGCAGAGCCAAGATCTTGAGAAGAGGGCTGCGCAGGGTGCAGTGCATTGTTATGTAGAACACAATGCACATTTTTCTCCTGTAAAAAGAAGCTGTAAGCTTTACTAATATGCCAGGGGTCCAAGGGCTGCATTTTTCTGTTTAAGATGAGAGCAAAAACAAATATGATTTTTGCAATGTGCATTAATTTGTTGTCATATATAACAGGCAGAAGTGCACTGATACATCAGTGGCATATCAAATTGGCAGTGATAAAAGGCAAATTAGCATTGTTGGTAATCAGCTTTTTTGGCCAGTGTAGTCGATAATGTGACCATTAAATGCTGCATGCATGCACACAGACAGCTTAGAGAGCAGCGTCCTGAAGGTAATCCTGCTGGGGAGGAAATAGCATGGGGGAGGGAAGGGGCATGGGGGGACGGATTGAGGCTCCCACAAGGCCCAGCCAGGGCAGTGAATATGACCCTGCTGGGACAGAGCCTCGGGCAGCTTGTTCAGGGGGATGGGGCAGGGGGTGGCTTCCCACCACTGCACTGCACCCCCCGGGGAAGCAGGAGAGGCATGTGCCCCCCTGGATTTGTGTGCAGGGCAAGGGTGGGCTGCCCACTGAGGATGCAGGGCCAGGGGCTGCTCCAGCCTCTTTCTGGCAGGGTGCTGAGCAGTCAGGGCAGGAGGGCGTGGGGCAGGCAGTGGCAGTGCTGGGAAGGGTAGCTACAGGGGGGGCTATGGTGAATTTTGGGGTGGCCATAGCCCACCCTGTAGCCACCCCTCCCAGTGCTGCTACCTGCCCCACCCCACCCACCCCAAATGCAGCTGGGAAGAGGCTGGCGCAGCCCCCGGCCCTGAGCCCACAGTGGGCAGACCACCCTCACCCTGTGCACAAATCTGGGGGGGCACATGCCCCGCCATGCCACTCCCAAGGGTGCACGCAGCAGCGGGGAGCTGCCCTGTATCCCCTGGATAAGCCACCTGCAGATCTGTTCTGCTCCTGGCAGGGTCGCATTCACGGCCCTGACTGGGCAGCGTCTGCCCTTGCCCCACTCCCTCCCTCACTGTGGGGACCTCAGTCAGCCCCCATCATGCCCCTTCTCTCTCTCTCTCCCCCCCCCCCAATCTTCTGGGCTGCATTCCTGTAAGTCGGCTACTGGATCAGTATTGGCCCATTATGGCTAGTTAATAATCAACCATTGGTATCAGCCAAGAAAATCTTTATCAGTGCACCCCTAATAACAGGGGCAGGCAACTCCCAGCACAGGTGCTAGAGTGTGCAAAGGCATTTTGCTTGACACACGCACCTTGGGGCAGATGGTGGGGAAGGAACCAGGGCTGCCTTGTAACAACAAGGATCAAGCCCCTGATGCCTCCCTGTTGTCTGTCTCTGGCATGCCGACATCTTACAAGTCAAGGTTATGGGTGTTTTTGGCACTCTGCCCCAAAATGTTGCCAATCCCTAACCCAGTGATTTGATGTTTTGGTCTTCCAGGACTGAAGAAATAAGTTCTGTTTTCATTGTAACTAAAGCATACATACACATTTAGGAATCTTCCTAATAATAATAATTATTATTATTATTATTTGGACTTGTATCCCACCCTATCCAAAAAGATTCAGATCCAATTATGATAACATACAAACAGCCCAAAAGATAAGAAACCACCACAACAAACTCCCCATTCAACACCCTAAAACTTTAAAAATGTTTCCCCTAACATGTTACTTTACTAAATGTAGGTTGCCTAGACAGTATCCTTTTAGCCTAGCCTAGCCTTCATTCTCCATGTGATGTGCTGATATTTGTTTTCCATTTAAATAGTAAGGCACAGAGAAAAATGACTTTCTCCTGTTTACACAATCAGTAGCAGAGCCAAGAATGCTACCCAGGAGACTGAACCCCTTCAGGTGACTGCTCAAACCATCAGTCAGGTTTACTGTAACTAATAAATGTATAATTTGTTTTTATCTTTATTGCATGTACACAGTCTTGAGAACTCTTTAAACCTTTAAAATATAAATGATTGCTTGTGAGAGCTCTCTCATCTCCCTGGGAGATACGCTGCCTATACATCCTGTTTTGGGTCTGTATTTGAATTTTAGCTCTAGAAAAAGCACTTGCGTGTCTCAACTCTAAACACAAAGTAAGACTGGTAAGAAAGAGGAGTACAGAGCCTTGAAGACTTGAATTTAAATTTACCCTAAGCCTCCTTTATAATTGTCTAAGGATGTAGAAAGGATCAACGGGGGTAGCGGTTTTCAGACTGTTCCATGGACCTCTGGGGTTCTGTGGTAGGTCATCATGGGTTCTGCAGAGAGATTGGGGGTAATGAAGGAGCGGGACAGAAGGTGGTGACCACCTTGCCACTCCGGGTTGACTGGCTTCATGTCAGCTCACATGGCCCATGGAGTCAAGGGGAGGGGTTCCACAGCAGAAGTGATATGAAAGGGTTCTGTGACTTTAGGAAGCTTGAAAATCACTATTTATATCTTCACGGACTGCCTTTCTTGCCTGCATACCAGCCTCTGACTTCTTTACTATTCATTCCATCCAGGAAGAGCACACACTAACTACAGATGCTTCCTTAGCCTGATGAAGGTTATTTAAACTCGAAAGCTTGCTAAGAAGAAATTTTCCAACTATTTGAGTTGGTCTAATGAAAGATACCAGATTTACCCAAAGAACTTTGTCTGAAAACCACTAGACACTTTTCCTAAATTCAGTAAACTAGAATAGGGCTCAGATTAATAATTAAAATTTCAGATCCAGAGATTTTTTTTTTCAGAGAAAACTGACAGGGACATATGTTATAGTCATGTTCTTGTTTTCACATCAAGAGTGTCCCCAGGTCCTCGGTGCACGCAACAAGTTCTTGTAGTTGCCTGTTTGGGAATGCCACTGACTTGTGGTATTAGGAACAGGAAGTACAGCTGTTGAAGTGCTTGCTTCTGACTGACCAGTTTCAATTTAGATAATACTGGTAACAAATAACTTTAAGGCACTAGGTGGAGTAGTTTCCACCCCCCACCCCCGCCCCGCCGCCCACCGATAAGGGGTTTACCTCATAACATATAACAGTGGCACTTGATGGACTTTACTAGCTGTCTCAAGAGAAGGGTTGAGGGCTGTAAAGGTCGTAAAAAGTGAACATCTCTTTTTCCCATTAAAAATGGGTCTTATAGGACATGACCCAAATGTGCTGGAAAGGGGAGGTGGGTTTTGTTTGCAGTACCCCAGCTTTTGCAATACTTTGGTGAATAAAACATTTCATTTTCTTTGTATATTGTTCTCTGTACAAAACAAAAGCAGATGTCACACAAGATCAGCCCAGCTTTCCTCTTTCAAGCCTGCAGTCACTAATTTGTCCAATTCAGCATACACTGACTTCCCTTTATTCATCCCAGTCAGTGTATGTTCATAATTCTTCTGTTTCTGTTGAGATCAGTTCATATTTGAGCTTGCATTTTAACTGTTTTCAAAATAACTGCAACAAGTTGACATATTAAGAAGGGTTATCACTGCAGTGGAAGTGGGATAAATGAGTTGGAAATTAGAGGGCATGTAGATTTTCAGAATGATACTAGAAAGGTTTTACATCTTGACAGAGGGCATTTTCTTTTCTTTAGACTGCAAGTTCTGTTTCCTTCGGAGGTTTTCCATTCAGCCTGCCCAGCAGAGGAAAATTCCAAACCGGTACCTGGGTCAGCCTAGCCCCTTCACACACCCACACCTTCTCAAGCCAGGTAAAGATCCTGAATGGCAGGTAACCAGTCAGGAGATGTTTCTCCCTTTCTACATTTCTCCAAGGAAGTAACTTAATGTAAAATACAACATTGATTTGCTGTATTATATAAAGTGCCTATAGCCTGGCCCTATCTTACTTATAGTAATTTTATTTCAAGGGAGTAATTTTATTCCTCATGGAATTTTCCATTTTGTGACAATCTCTGGCTCTAGAAAGAGGCGTGGTTCCCATATCCTAATCCAAAGCCTTGCCTGTTTCAGGAACTGCTGTATTTACTCAAATCCAAAATGACTTTGAATTTAAGACAGTGCCCCAATAATTAGATTCTACAACTGGAAAATGATATATTTGTTATAATTTTCATTTAATAGAATCTAATTACCGAAGAGTCATCTTAAACTTGTCCCACCGGGGAGAGAGCTGGTCAGCAGCCTGACCTCACACTGTGCTACCCTGCCACTTGCCCCCTATGCCTGTGCCCCTGCCACCTGTTTCCCCTTCTGCCCACCCCCTACCCAATCCCTGGCCTATGCTGCCACCCACGCCCTGACAAATGCCACCTACTCTTCCTCCTGATCCCCACATGTTTTACTTCCTGCTTCCCATGCGCACTGTTGCCCCATTCCCTCCCAGTCCACCTGCATGCTGCTATCCCATTCTCATATATGGTGCTGCCCCATCCCCACATGCACTGCTGCCCCATTCCCTGCCTGATCCCCAACCTACACTGCTGCCCTGTCTTCCATCCAATTTCCACACATGCTGCTGCCCCATCCCCCACCGAATCCCTGACCATAGCCATAGCCATCGCTTCTGATCTGAACTCACTGCAGCTGCTGCTGACCCCTTTGCTGCTGACTCCAGACAGGAGCAGCAGCAGCTCTGACCCTGGTCCAAGGCAGGCAATACCCTGGCTCTGGCCAGGACCAGGGCCAGAACTGAACTGCTGGTACTTGAATCCAAGATGAGGCTTGTTTCTCCCCAGGTTGAATGCGGAGGAGAAGGAACCTCACCTTAGATTCAAATAAATATGGTAGTTTTTTCTGACACAGACTGCCTCTTGTTCTAGAACCAAGCATAGAAAGCTTTTTCAGTCAGTGGCTGCTCCTCAACTAGCCTGCCACCAATCCAATAACATCGGTTTTTAAAGAGAGTCCTTTGTGCACATCATATTACAAAAATACTTAATAGATAATATTTTGTGAGCCAAAGAAAAAAAGGAAAGCTTTCAAAAGTGAGATTTAAACTGGGGAGGTGGCTCAAGAAAACGTTGAGGACAGAATTCTAGAGAGATGAACAGTATGCATTTAAGGAACAGCTTCCTCTCCAACTTCATAGTTGGAAGAAAAGAGAAAGGAAAACAAAGCAAGTAACAATAAAGTTAGAAACCAACAGTGGAGGTCAGATTGAGTTTGTGCACATTTGTGGAAATAGTGAAGGTGAGCAGGTGGATCAACAGTCAGAGGGAGAACCTTTAAAAAGATTGAAAAGAGAGCACAAATATATTTTGGAATTTGTTGCAGTCAAGAAAAGTGTTATGTTTGAGTTTTTTTCAATATATAGCTAAGAAGTTAGGTATTGATCAAGAGGTCTTACATAATCAAATCTAGCACTTAAATAAGTTTATTAAAAAGAATGCACAAAATTAAAAATATTACAAGCAGCTACTAAGTGAGTATCAGTTCATTTAAACCAATAACAGAAACCTTGCAGCTATGCTTTTGGACACCTAGAACTGTCATATAGGCAGAAGCTGTTTACAAACTCCTCTGGCATAGCCAGAATACTAGTGGAATCCAAAACCTACCAGACACTGCACCCAACTTTTAAATTTCACTTGAACTTTAATTACATTTAGGAAGCCTTTAGAGTAGAATAGACCATTTGAGATTCCAAAAATACATAGTGGATAATTCTAGAATTGGTTTCTGAGTTTTAAAAATGATTCTGCAGATTTGATAACTTCCAGGGCTGTAGGAATTTTTTTTTAGACAAAACAAGTGTTGGCAATTGTTTTAACGGAAAGAGAGTTTAATAAAAAATAAAACGTATAGTTTTCAAAGTTCTTTTCTCAGGGGAAAAAATTCTTCCCTGTAACCACCCATAAAAAATGTGTAGATAGAAAGTAGCTATTGGAGAAGGGGGCTTCTATTACAGATTAAATAGCATGCTTTATTTTAGTCATTATTCTGTGGTATATCAGCATGAAAAGAATTATGAACTAGAAGTTAGCAATATGAAAAGGCAATACATATAAGAATATAGGGCATTAGTCAGAATACTCTTTAAGATTTGCAGAACGTTACCTTAAATCCCGGTTAAAGTAGTCTCCCTTTGTCTCTTTTTAAAAGCACCTACCTAAGTTTGGGTAGGTTGATCCCGCGTCTTCATTCAGTTGCAGTGAGAATGTTTTAGTCTCCAGTCTTCAGATTCTTTGCTAGGGAAGGATGGTGAAATGTGCAGTCTTGAGAAAAAGAGAATTTGTGTTCTTGGAGTTAATAGGATTATAGCTTTTAATATTCAAAAGAGCCTGTTTTGTTAATTATTGGAAGAAATTGGGTCTTTCATGGGCAAGTATTCTTTGCTCAGTCAAATCCTGTGACATCATCCAAGAAGGCTTGGTTTGTTTCTAAACCGAGCCAATTTATTGGCTAATCAAATTGTTCAAGGACAACCTTTTTGCTTTTAATTGGTCTCACATGGTACTGGCAACATTGACTCTGCTGCTTATACTTTGAAGCTAACTGTCTTATGACTTAACCCAGCACTAGAGTGGCTGTTCAAACACAACCTTATCTGGTGGAATTAACACTAGAACCATGTCCTGTCTTCTGTTCAATGTCCAGATACCATAAAAGCCAACATTTTCCAACAGGGTTAAAGTTCAGTTTGTTCCACTCCTCCATTTCTCTCCATCTTCATTTGGAAATTGACAGTACTCATTTGACCTTAGTTTGCTCCCAGAATGCTTTGGGGTTTTGTCTGTAACTGCTTGATCTAAATATTTGCCCAGAATTTATAGACAAAACATTGATTAGTTTAAAAGAAATCTTTTCTTCTTACCTGGTGATAGAAATGAGTGGAGATTGTGGGTACATGAAGTCAAAAAAGTAGGATGGAGAGCAGTGGAAAAGGTGGTATGAGGCCAAAGTGATGGTGTAAACATCAGAGGAGCAAGAGAGCAGAGAAAAGGGGGATACAAGGTTAGCTAAATAGTAGATGTGCACCGATACATTGGTCTGATATTGGATTGACACTGATATAAAGAAAATTGGCTGTATTGGAAATCAGCCTGATGTGGCCCATAATGTGGCTGATAAATGGCCCATGCATGCGCACAGCCACAGCGCAGCATGTAGGCTGTGAGGAGCACAGCCTGGCAGCTTGGAGAGCTACATGAAACTGGTAAGTCTGTTGTGGTTGGAGGGGGGCATGGGAGGCAGATCACGGCCCCTGTGGTGAGGGAAGGATTGGGGCAGGGGGCTGGGCCAGGCTGCACTCAGAGTGGATGGCAGCGGCACTGGGAGGGAGGGTTAGGGGGCTATGGCCTCCCCTCCCCCCCATAGACCCCTCCAGCCCTTCTGCAGCCTGCCCCAAGCACAGCCTGGCCCAGCCCCCACCAGGAAGAGCCGAGCGCAGCCCCAGCCCACAGCGGCAGCCCACCTCATACAGATCTGCTCCCTACACCCCCCAGACAAGCCACAGCTCTGTCCTGCGCCTCCCCCCCACTCTGCCCTGGCTGGGCGGCGCCTGCCCCAGCCCCACTCCCTCCTTCACCATGGGGGCCTTGATCTGCCTCCCACACACCTCTTCCCTCCCCCTTCCCTTCCACTACAACAGACTTACCAGCTTCGTGCAGCTATCCATGCTGTATTGGAAATCAGATTGGAATTGGCTGATATGGCTCCTTAAAAAATGGCTATCTGTATCAGTCCCCAAAATCTCTATCTTGCACCCCTACTAAATAGGCTGCTTTTTAATGAGCGCACAGAGTGGGATGGGAGGCAGGTGGTTCTGAGATCAGGATTTTACTTCATCTGGTTTGTTTTTCATTCATAGGGGAGGTAACACCAGGGCTGTCCCAGGTGGAATATGCTCTACGCCGACATAAGCTGATGAGTTCGATCCAGAAGGAGGCTAAAGACTGGGGTGGTATGGACCACACAGTGATTCTGCTATCCAACCCCACCTATTACATGAGCAATGACATCCCATACACCTTCCACCAAGACACTAATTTCCTGTACCTGTGTGGGTTCCAGGAACCTGACAGCATCCTGGTGCTCCAGAGTCTGCCTGGCAAAGTGCTGCCATCTCACAAAGCCATGCTTTTTGTACCACGTCGAGACCTAAACCGAGAGCTGTGGGATGGGCCGCGATCAGGCACGGATGGGGCAGTAGCTCTCACAGGAGTGGATGAAGCTTATACCATAGAGGAGTTTAGAAACCTGGTGGCCAAACTTAAAGGTAACAGAAAGGGTATGAGATGGGACCCAGGGTAAAGGGACCAGATGACACTAGATTGGGACATGGTCTGTATTGCTGATTTCGGCCTTATCTGAAGTTGGGAGGCTCAGAGGATAGCACATGACACTAGGAACAGGAATCAGATCTTTTCACCTCTGATTGTAGTCTGGCTGCTTGGCCTGTGAGCTGATGGTCTCCACCTGGGTACCAGCTAGTGAAACTGTGTCCATATCATTGAAGACCCTTTTTGGCAAAAATTGGTCCTTTGTTGTCAGTATCAAGAGAAGCAAAGGATTGATAGGGCTATAAAGACTGATATTCCTTCTCTTCCTGATACTTGGCCCCCAAATGTGGAAGCTTATTAGTACAGAGGCACTGTGTGTAAGTGAGAAGTTACTGCCTATGCTGTGTTGCATCTTTCACTAGAAAACTTCATTCTCAGTGGGCTCTCAGTTCAGCTTCTCTCACCTGCATTAAAGTCATTTTAGAAACTCTCTGGTGATACACCAGCACTTATTTTACAGCTTTTTGCCTTCTTGGATGGTGTGAGATACATTTTCTGCGTCACACCAAGTTTTATAATTTAATGCAACTTGTACAGAAGATCACCCTTGTTAAATGTCTTCCAGCCTGCACCACCTCAAAATATTACCAAATGGACGGAACAGAATTTTGCTAGCAAAGTTCTGGTAGAAAAGCACCTCTGTAAAGCAAACAGGTTTTTTTTAGTTACCTCAGGGGTCCCCAGAGAAATGTTTTATCAAATAGAAAAATGTGTTTCGCCTTATCCTAATTCCTCTTCTGCCTTTGTGTATGGATGCAGAAAATTTAAGACACTAAAAAATTAGGAGAAAAAATAGAACCTTGGCATTGTCCTGCCCAAAACAATTGTCCATGTAGTCCAATATACTTTCGCCAGAATGGCCTGAAACTGAAAAGGAGGTGAAAAACATGGACCATTGTAGAATAAAATGCATAGAGAAGAAATGTGTTCTTGGAGCCCTCACTTATTAGAGATTGACTTAAGCCCTGAACAGGAGATTTTTATCCCTTATATTTTTTTAACTTTGTATAACATAATCGGGTGGGATCAATATTCATAACTGAGAGCAAACTTAAATGTATTTTTATCAAAAACACTTAACATCCCAAATTATTAAACAAAACACTTTTGCAGACTTTAAAAGGAGAAATGCATTCCATTGGAATTAGCCAAATAAGTAATGGGCATGCTAAATTCCTGAATATTCATTATAGTGCCTTTTCTCTCTTATTACAGAGAGCAGGGTGTGGATCAATGGCTTGAAGTTGCAGCAATATGGGTTTAGATTGGATATCGGGAAAAACTTCTTCACTGTTAGAACAGCGAGGCAGTAAAATACCACAACTTCTCTGGGCAGTCTATCTCTATCACTGTAGGTGTTCAAGAAGAGATTGGAGAAGCATTGTTCCGGGATGATCTATGAGTAGCTAATGCCTATGTTCTACTATGGATATTCCCCATGCTTCTGAGCTTTTCTGGTTGCCACATGAGGCTAGGAGCTAATTTTTTTTCCTTCCTGCTGTTGCAGGGGGTGGGGGGAGGGATCACCTTCCTCAAAAGTTTTAGGAGTTGGCGGCAGCCAAGGCTGGAGAATTTGATGGGTGTGCCAGTGCTCCTTCTGGGACATAAACCCAGAGATTCCTGGCTAGAGGGACTTGGCTCTGCTCAGGGTCAGATCAATTGCCATATTTGGGATCAGGAAGGAATTTTACCCTATGATTAGATTGGTACAGATTGGAGGCGGGGGGTACCTTTCTCTGTAGCAGGGGGTTGTGGCCCTCTTCCTGGGACCTCTCAAATGTATTTTAACAATCTTTGCAGCAACAGGATATTGGACACTGGAACTGTGGGAAGCTTCAATAGCTGATTCGATTCAGAGGAGATTCGGGCCAATTTGGGAACTGAATCTCTGAATTCAAATTGAATCAAGAGACCAATTAAAACCTCCAAATCCATTAGAAACATCCATATCAATTCAGAAAAATATTCAGAAAAGATTTGGCGATTCGGCCATAGGCTAAGCTGATACAGTGGATGTGGGCGCAGCAGTGCTGGGAGTGGGGACTATGCCTTGCTTCTAGTTGCTCCCTTCCTCTTGCAGCGAGCCGGTCCTGCATCCCACACCACCCCACCCCTGCCCCGGCTGGGCAAGCGGCGGGAGGGCAGAGCCCTTACTCCCAGCACTGCCGTGCCTGCATTCTGTGCCCCACTCCCTGAGTAATACATGCCCCTGCCCGGGTCAGGCAGCTTGTCCCAGTCCCTGCACCAGTCCCTCCCTCCCCCACGCTGCTTCCCTCCCCCCTCCCCAACCTCAACAGACTTGTCAGCTGCCTGTTTAGTCTATGGCCGAATCTCTGAAGCAATGCCAAATCTTTTGGATCTGATTCGGCCAAATCAAATCAGGACAGTGATTTGAATGTCTGAATTGAATCACTGTCCTCTGAATTGGCCGAATTCCAATCCAAGTGAATACTTGCCACTTTGCACAGGCCTATTGGGCGCTATGATCCCCTTGCTTTACCTGTGGTAGGTTAGGGTGTTATGCCTTGTAGTTGTGTCGAGGTTGGCTCTGGTTTTGCTGATAGGTTAGACAATATATTCATACAGGATGGTTTGGATAGGGATGATCCTGCCTCAGGCAGTGGATTGGACTAGATGACCTCCAGAGGTCCCTACCAGCACTACTTTTACATGATTCTGTGATTAAAAGATCAAACAGCAGGGGTAGGTATGCTGTCCTCAATGGTTTGGTGGATATTGCTTTGTGGGTAATTGTATTCTCTCTGAACAAGTTCTCTTCAATGGAAATCTGGTGACAGAGTTCTCAAACAAGCCAGCCTAAAAAAGAATTGCTAGTGATCTGGACTTAAAGTGGTTGTGACCAAGAGGTGTATTTGTTTTATGAGGTCAGTAGGGCTCTAACCCCAGAAATCCAAGTACTTGATCGGCACTATTGTAAGGTTATGTTTCTGGCATGAAATGCTCTACCTGGCTCATCTTATCTCACTATTGTGACTGCCTTTATGAGGAGTGAGTGTAGCTGGGTACTTTTATGCAAACAGGTGTTTGTTGATTGAGTGTACACATCTAAATTAATAATCGTTGTTAAATCTACAAAAACACCTGTTAGTCTGCACATTACTAATCGGCTCGATTCTATGGAGATCATGAATGCCCTGTTACTCTCAGGGGTGTAGGTTGTATCTGTATTGGTCTAAGGATACAGGCAGACAAAGTCCTTTGGGTAAATCTGGTGTCTTTTATTAGACCAACTGTCTTTTACCCAACTGATTTACCCAAAGAACCTTGTCTGCCTATTACTCTCAGAGCTTATGTAAGGCCTAAGACTGTATCACAAATTTGGGGGCAGTAACCTTTCAGATAACATGTCAAACCATTGTCTCCTAATATTGGAGGAGGTTATTCATTTAGCACTCTCCAAACATTTGCGTCTTATCTTAGCCTGAGCCTGTTTTGTTTTGTGTTTCAGGTGAGTCAAATGTGGTTTGGTATGACTATGCAAGGCCTGTGCACCCTCAGCTCCACTCTGAGTACCTGCAGCCTCTGACTGAGATGAAAACTGGAAGCAAAAACCGTATCCGAGGTTTCTGTCACCTGGTGCAAAACCTCCGGCTGATCAAATCCTCTGCAGAGATTGAGAGGATGAAGGTTGTTGGAAGGGTGACATCACAGGTATGGAGTGTACGCACCCATCAAATACACAGGGTGATTGTTTCTTGAGAGGCTGGCAGAGAGCAGCTGACATAAAAATGAAATGGGGCAAGCTTGATAAAAGTAAGTTGAGCCAGGGGGACAACTTGGAGAACTCACAGTTGACATCATTCCAACCAAGACAAGCCAGCAATTATTATGTACTTGACTTCCTTTAAAACAGTACCCACTCCAGAACAAGGGTGCTTTCCCATGCTCCCACCATGCTTTTGCTCTCACTTTCTCATACCATCTTCTCCCCACACCTTTTTAAATTAATTTTTGCTCTGATTCTTGTGTTATAGGACAGGGGTTTTTTGCACTCTTTGTAATCCTGAATGTCTTATTCAGAATATCTGGAGTTAAAGGAGATGTTTCCTTCAGCTTCAGGCCCTTGGCTAATAAAAGGCCCATGTTCCTGTTTGACAGGCTTTCACAGAAACAATGTTTGCCAGCAAATCCCCAGTGGATGAAGCATTTCTGTATGCCAAGGTATGTACCTGATCATTCTATGAACTACACTGTGGAGGTAAGAGAGTTGGGTATTGTTAGTAACCGCAGCACTCACCAGGCGGTTTACCAGTTGAACCGGGGGGGCGGGTGGATGACCAACCCGCCTTGCGGACAGGCCGGGGATGAAAGAGACACTGACTCAGTTGGAAGATAGTAAAATTGAACTTAACGTTTACTTACAGTAAGATTTCAACAGTGGTTACACAACAAAACGACAGTGGTGAAGCAGTAGTTAAAGATGACAGGTAGGAGATAGCAATTGCTTTTTCCGATGTACGTGCGGATGGAGAGCTCGCTGTTCGGTGAAATAATAGCCAGGGTGTGACTATTCGTATGCGTATGACTATTCGTATGACTATTTGTCCATGGGGACACGGATTCCTGGACAGGGTGATCAGTCCTATCCGAGGGCTTGTGTGGAACCCGGGACCCTGCGCTTTAGCGGGCTGTCCCTTTTATAAACTCTTCAGCCAATCAGAGGAGGCTGCTGATTTACAGTTAAGAGAGTGTGTCTGCTGGCCAGGCAGGCACGCTTCTCCTGCAGCTCCTGATTTGTTAAGGCTGTCTGATCACGAGCTGGTCGGCCTCATGATCATGAGCTCTTCACACGCTGAACATGACCTGCTCTCGTGTTCTGCATTGGTCTGGCATGTGGGCTGAGCGTTTGGTCACCTTTTGTACTCAGACAGGTATTTGTTCCTCCAGGAAGAGAAAAGCCTTGAGAGCTGCCTCTGAGTGCTAGTTGCATACCACTGCAACCCCTTCCCATCCAATTTTTTGGTTCCTTTGATTACTACCCTGTTCAATACAGAGCTGTAGCCCAGTCCAGCAAGCACCTTTGGATTATGGCTGCATCTCAGCTGTTTTTTTGAGAGTGCTCTTTGAGCATCGGTGGCCTTTGAATCCTGGCCCTTCTGTGCTAAAAGCCTGAGGTTCCATCTCAGATCCTTGTATGATTGTGCATAAGTGTGTGTAAAAGGCTGACTGCAGTGTTACACATCTTTCCTGGAAAGCTTTGGTTTAATGCCTTTGTTTCAAATCAGCAATCTGGATGGGGGCTGAAACTTTAGTGAGGACTGCTGGAGAATGCTTTTAAGCTCTTTCCGTGTAAGGAAATACCAACATTCTATAACCTAGATAATACACTTATCTAAAACACCCGTACCAATGGCAAAAGTGCTCTCTGAAGCTGCAGCTATCTAGCCTGATCCTTTTAAAGGAGCAGGTATTGTTGGAGAACAGACAGTATTCCTGGGTGTGCCTTTCCCATTGGTGGTGGTGGGGAACTATTTGATCAGTGTATAAGTTGTAGGGAAATGTCATTCAAAGAACAAGGGAGAGGAAGCAGCAATAGGGGAAGACGACAAAAAGAGATCTGTTGAATGAATAAATAAAAGCAAAGGTGACAAGAAGGAGAGAATAGAGAGAATGAGATAGCCCATGCTTTTTAGTTCTTATGAGTTCCTTTCTCTGAAGTACTCCCCTCTCCATCCATGTGAGTGTGACTGAAGTGGGAGTGTTCATGTTTGGCAGGATTTCATAACCCCCCTCTGTTAGGTGTACACTTTTGGAAAGTCAGTCCAAATGGGTAACTGAGTGGGATGAATGGAGGAATTCTAGGATTGTACTGGGGCTTCAGTGAAGGTCCACTGCTGCCACTTTCCTCCATTGAGAATCCAGGAGCTTTTCCTTACCTTCCTTGCCCAAGGCATAGACACCATGTGATACAACTCTGCACTCTTACCTGTAGGAATCATGTTTATCTACTAATTGACTTGGTATACTATTGTGAAATACAGCTATTTAAACTGCATGGCATTATTAACTATAAATATCAGATGTAGCATTGGTCATAATGGCTGTAATTAACTAACAGCCTTGGTACAGATTACTAATGGAAAACGTCAGAAGACAGCCAGGAATGTTTTGAAGGAGGGCAAGGGCAGTGAACTTTCCAAAGGTGAATCGATCTTTCCCAGTTAGGGCTTCATTTCTCACTATATATCCTGTTATTGTTCTGGCTAAGAACTGTATCCGTATGCCTTCAAGGCTCTTTCTTTGCATTACTAAAAAGAATAATATCTAGATCAGTGATTCATGACCAGGGCTTTGTGTGGTTCATTTAGGGGTGCTGCACAATATTAGTACTGAGTGCAAACACCTGCACACATTTCAAAAGATAAACCCAAAGATTTCAAACAGGAATCCATAGTGTCGAAAACATTCTGATCTGTTGTGGTCTTTCTGAGTTCTTTGAAACAAAAGAATTGCAGTCATATTTTTACATATTGCAATAAATAAATTAGTTTTTGAAATAGTATGAGGCTAAATTGGAAGTTATGGAGGGATGCTTTGTCTAAAAAGGTTGTGAATCGCTGATCTAAGCACATTGGATTAATATGTATGTTACCCAGCAGAGCTGGTTTCCAGTTACAAAAGCTTGTGCAGCTTTTACAGGGTATTCCATTCTGGGGGAGTCTGAAGATGTAATGACTAAATTAAACCTACCTCTTAAACAAAGCATCTTCCTGAGGCAGTTGCAGAACAACCTTAAATTATACATTTTTCTTACGTTTCTCACCCAAATATTCTTGGAGATTTTAATGGGAAGGTTAAAGGCAAGTAGAACTTGGTTGACTTTTTTCTACCTCAGATGAGTCTGTGCTGATCAGCAGTGCAGAATTCTAGAGAAATTGATTTCTTTTAAAATGCAAGGATCACAAAAACCCCAAATAATAGTCTAAAATTTGCTGGTACTTTAGAAATATTTATTTCCAAAATATTGGCACCTGGTCACGTAGGACCTTTAAAATGTGCAGAGTTGTATGGGACTTGAGCAAGAGCAGTGTTTAAAATATGCACCAATACCTTCCAACTATATGATGTATTAATTAGCATCATAAAATTTTGGTACAGCTTTTAGCAACTGAAGCCCAGGTAGCTCATCCAAGAGTCCAAACACTGCATTCTAGATGCTTCCATGAAAAATGGTTGTTCTTGCACTTCTGCTATTCTTGGGACCCTGGGTGGGGCTCAGGACTGTTTTCATTCAGGGCATGATCTATGCAGTTTCATTTTCATTTGGCTTGCTACATTCTGCATAGGAAGAGAGAATGGCAGTAAGTATGACAGCTCCAGTACAGGAGGTGACTGTACCAGAATTAACAGGCTTCCTTTGTCTTGGTCCTTCAGTTTGAATTTGAGTGCCGGGCTCGTGGTGCTGACATCTTGGCTTACCCCCCCGTTGTTGCTGGTGGTAACAGGTCTAACACCTTGCACTATGTGAAAAACAATCAGCTTATCAAGGTAAACCACACATCCTTCAAGTGTTTGAACTGCACTGTTTGATATTGTACCAGAAAACTGGCTGGCCCTTGACAATCTGTAGCCCCAGTCAGAGATGACCGTAGTAGGGTTCACGGCCCAGGGCAAATCAGCCTGTGCAAGGCCTGGACACGGGGGGTGGGCAGGGCGAGTGGCAGGATGTGAAGGTGGCCTGACTCAGCTGGCTCAACTCTGTGGGACCCAAGGCAGTTTCCCTGATTCTCTCCACCCCCCAGGGATGGCTCTGGCCCCAGCCCTCTCCCTTTTGGTGAAAAGGGAGGCTGAAACACTGGGTAGGGTGAATCTAATGAAAATGGTTTTACTGCCTCATCATAGCCCCACAGAACTTTAAAGGATCTCCTGGGACATTGAATGCAGTCCCTTGTGATTCCTGGCAACCATCTAATAGATGTGTGTCCCAAAAGTTCCACAAGAACATCAATTCCAGCTTCTCTTGCAGACCACAGCTACAAGACATGCCCCCTCCCCCAATACCCACGAGTAACAAACTTAAGATCTTTAGGACAAAAGCCCTACAGGAAGAGAGTTACCAAACCAGTTACCAAAATGATGAAATAGTTAGCCAGACTCTTGCTTTCCTTTTCCTCTGATGTGTACCTGCTTCCCCTGACCAGAATGTGGGATAACAATGATAACTATCTCAGGAACACCTCAATTCTTCATTATATTTTCATTTAGAGAACTTGCCTTTCCTGTACAAAAATATCATCAATTTACTTTAGAATTAAGTCAGGCAACTCAACAAATCCTTTGGGGAAGTTCCCTCTTACAGTGAAAAAAGAAAGAGGTGGCAGGTACAAACACTTTCATTTGTTGGATAACACTGGGCATGTCTACATGAGATGTTTAATGCCCATTGGACTAAGTTTACTGCGCATTGGTGCAGCTGGCAAAAAACATGCTAATTGTGCAGTAGGTTAGTCACATAAAAAAGTGTTTGTTTGTGCTAATGTGCAGTCGGTTTAGTGCAATGAAAATTAAGCATCACAAAACATTTGTTTGCGCTAATGCACAGTAGCACTGATTATGGCGCATTAATGAACATGTAGATGTGCCCACTATTTGCACATTGGCAAATATGACTGTTGTAATACTTAGAACCAATTGGCACCATTTGGAGCCTTTCTGAAAAGCAGAAGGATCTGGCCGTTACAGATAATACCTTGGAGTTAGTTACCTCTTAGAGCAGTGATTCTCAGCCGGGTGCCATGAGAGCCTTTCAAGGGTGTAGCAGGCTGTTATGCAGGCATTAGGTGTGCAGATGCCTATATGCGATCCATAAAATAAACCCGGTGATTTCAAATAGGGATTTACAGTGTCAAAAATCTGACCTGCTGAGGTCTGAGTTCTTTGCAACAAAAGAATTGTTCTGTTATTTTTACATAGTCAAGAAGTGATTGAAAACTAAGAGCTGGTATTTTCCAAGGGATGCCTTGAGTTTAAGTAGGTTGAGAACAGCTGTCCTAGAGTAATCAAGAGCAGCAGCTCTGCTCTGCCTGCCTTTAAGATAAGGAGACAATATATTTGACATAGAACTTTTCCAAAACATTTAGATCGGAGAGATATTCCCCTCAGCAAAGAATTTCTCCAGCATTTACTCAACTTATTTCATTGTTCCTAAGAGAACAGGTGGGGGGACCATCCCATACTTGACTAAAATAATTAAAGCAGTTGCTCATAAGAAGTTGAGAATAGCATTTGAGTGGCCTTTGAATCACAGACAAATGGACATTTTAGCTGCCTTAAAAGTGGGGAAGTTGTTGCCCAGAAGGACACAGCACCTGTTATATTGTAACTGTTACGTCTTCACGATCATGTAGCAAGCTAAATCCTCCCAACTTTGACCCTGTATGAAGTGTTGAAGCTGGAGTTGTTTTGCTACACCTGTATCTCTACAGAATCAGGAAGATGTAACAGTTGTATTGTAACAGCTTACATCACTATCCTTTGATATGGTGCAGTTGTTACATCTGTCTGTACTCCAGAAGTGGGTTCAGTTTATTAACTACTAATGTGAATGTTCATACTATTTCTCTATATATAGTGTGAATAATCAGCAGCAGAAGTATCTGAGACTTGACTTTATGAGTTTTCCTTTTATGCAGTAGAATTACTCTCTCCTATTCACTCTGAGATCTGTGGTAAGGGACTCTGCATTGTTCTGGCTGCCAGGCCATGGTATCCCCTTAAAACACTGAAGTTGTACACAGAATAAGTGAACACAGAATCTGACCTGGAGTTAATACAGCAGTGGCTGCACAGTTGACAGTCTTTTGCAGAAGGAAGGACAAGGCAGTTATTCCACACCTAGACACTTAGCTTGCATGGCAGCAGCAGGCACTCAATCGGTTTGAACGGTGTTTGCTGAATCAGACTGGCAGTGAATGCATCCAAAGCCTTCCTATAACTAGGACCTCCAAATCCATCTCAGAAGAGCTGATTCAGAGCCTGAGGCTAAAAGATAGCAGTAAAAATAATAGCAATAATTGGAAGTGTTCATGGACAGCAGCACTGTGCTGGCAGTGTTGGGAGTGCACAGTAGATCTCCTGTTGTCCTGTTACCAGAGGAGTCTCCCAGGCTAGAACTGCCCAGGTATTCCTTGACATTTCCTGAGTTCATGCACCAGAAGCATTGGGCAAATCTTTCTCCACATCACTTCTTCCATATCACTCCACACCCTTTCTGTCCCAGGGATTAAAAGGGGAACCCTCCCTGCTTGACCCTGATTGGTGTAGAGCAGCGACCACAGATGCCAGCCTGCTTGGATGGCATTGGTTCTTCAAGGTATAGAACAGCTCACATTTCTTTCCCCAGAAAAGACTGAACGTCAGATTATTGGAGCTTGGGTTTTCTAGGTATTGTTTTAACTTAGGGAGCTCCTCTAAAGGAAACCAGGCAGTTCAGCTGTACCTGTCTATACCTGTCAAGGGCATTGTTCTGTGATAAGGACAGAGTCTGCACTTTCCTCTTGCAAAAAAGTACCTCCTCGAGGGTCAGCCCTCTCACAGAGAAATTTTCTTACTGGACTGGACTGACACAGTGCATTTCTTCCTTTCTCCTGCAGGATGGTGAAATGGTCTTGCTAGATGGCGGGTGTGAGTCTTCCTGCTATGTAAGTGATATCACCCGTACATGGCCCATCAATGGCAGGTAGGATGCCAGCAGCAGGCAACATGCTAGCTTTGAAGGAGTGGGAAAAACACACTCGGTGATTAGTTACGTGTATGGGTGTGGAGCATGTGTGTATACAGATGTCTACACTGTCTGTCCATGAAAGCAATGATAATGTACCCATCACTGTGGTGTGTTGGTGAAACTAAGACTATGTAAACTAAACTGAGAGTATAAGGAACTGTATTTCTCACCTTTTCCTCACCAATAATGGTGAGAATGTGTGTGGTTATTGCTGGTTTTTAAATTTACTGCAGCTATCAAGGTGAGGCTAACCTTCAGAGATCGGTCTTGCCTTTGAGCCTGTGTATGCTAACTCTGGGTATGCATGGGAGGTGTAGGAGAGTAGTTTGGTCTGTCTGTGTGAGGGCCTGCCTGTCTCGCGTTGTAAATGTTTCAGTAGTGTGTCCCTGGGATGGTTGCTTAGTTCCAGTTGCCCTTTGATTCCCTTCGGATTTTGGCTTTGCTCTGCCCTGATGCTGATAGAGAGCTCTCCCTCTCCCTGGGATAGAAAGAGGTGACCTCAGTAACATCCTGCCTGACCTGGCCTATTGGTGGGCAACAGTTTCTCTTTCTTAGGTCTGTAGCCCTGAGCTTGAATTTGATGCAGAAGTGAGGAGTTCCCATCTGAGAAGTGACTCTCTTTGCTTTCCCCTGCTTTCAGGTTCACTGGTCCCCAAGCAGAGCTGTACCAGGCAGTCCTGGAGGTCCAGAAGTCTTGTCTGAGCCTCTGCTCCCCAGGTGTGAGCTTGGAGAACATCTACAATCTCATGCTGAGCCTCACAGGGCAGAAGCTAAGAGAACTGGGGGTGCTAAGGAGAAGCATTGATGAGAACCACTTCTTCAAGGTACCTGAACTTTTTGCTCCAGCATGTCTGGCCCTCCCTAGGCCTGACTGCTTTCTGTCTGCAGGAATGGCAGTCTGCTGGGAACCTGGCATTTCTCAGGAGGCCTGGTTTCCAAGCCAATATGGGTATCCAGCTGTGTTGCATGAGGTTACAGTTGTGCTAGGGAGAGATCCTCCCGCATGAACCAAGGTGAGGCAATGCCTATATCACCCAGCAGGTGGCAGCACAGCTAGATGAGAAGCACCTCTGCAGCTTAGTTCCCAAAAAATAAATATCAAGGGTACAGGGTGGAGACAGGAGGCGGGGTTAGTAATTTGAGCCTTCTTACACTGAGATCCTTTGGTTGGGGAAGGGTTTAGGAAGGAACAAGGGGGCTAATGCCCTGGAGGGGGGGTTTCATGTCCTAGTTCTGCTGGTATGTGACATCAACATGGCATCCTTATCCTGCTCGATTCTATGGAGATCATGAATGCCTTGTTACTCCCAGAGCTTATATCAGTCCTAAGTCTGTATCACAAATTTGGGAGGAATTACTTTTCGGATACCATTTCACTTACAGTTCCCCAAACAGCTCTGCCCAGACTACCTTGGAGAGTCCAGGCTCAGACCACCAGAACCTGTCCATTTGTAGCAACCAGGACAGGTGAGTGAGTGATGTGGAGAACATACTCTAAGTGCTACAAACTGACAGGCTCTGGGAGTAACAAGGCATTCATGATCTCCATAGAATCGATGCAGAGTGAACAGCCTGCTTTAGGCTTGGCTCAAACAAAGGATTATTGTTCCATTTCCTTGGGTACCCACAATGTTCCCTTCAGTGGGGGAGAATCCATGGTGATTCTTCAGGCATGAGATGGACAGCACAGTTGCTATGACAAACCTGACTCATGTTCTTCCTGTGCATTTATTCCACCCCTTACCCTTGGTGCTGAGGCAGATCAGGGTCCATGTTCGCCAACTCTAATAATAGTGTTTTGCCTTCTGCTAGGCTGTCCGGAAGTACTGCCCGCATCATGTGGGCCATTACCTGGGTATGGATGTTCATGACACACCCAGCATGTCCCGATCACTTCCACTGCAGCCAGGCATGGTGATAACCATTGAACCAGGTAAAAAGGATGACTTTTAGTGCTGGGCCAAGGCCATGTCGTGATGGTGATGGTGATACAGTTCAAAGTAGCCCATGGCAGCTTCAACCAAAGGATTCAAAAGTTCTTTAAAATATAATTAAAAAATAAAGCATATTTTTCTCTTAAAGCCCAACCAAAAATATCAGAGGATTATGGTGGTGGACTTTTAACAGGGAATGTTTCCCCTGCAGACTGCAGTGTAGTGCAAAGATATTCCAAGTAACTGGGGAATTGGGATCAGACTGCTGCCCTATAGGCTAATTTACCATGATAAGAAGGCAGTGCCTGGCCTGAGCTCTGTGCTGCCATGGCTGGACGGTACCCACACTAGCTCCTAGGAAGCTCAGGAAGCAACTTTCTAGGAAGCTCCTAGGAAGCAATTTGCAGCGTACACCCTCATCCTTACAAAGGAAGAATTTAACAGTGACACTTTCCCTCTGGCTCTTGACTACTCATTTTGCAGCCATCAAATGGAAACTGGTGCCTGACACCAGCTTCCTTTCCTGAGCCTTTCTCTCCCACCACCCACAGTGTTATGAAAGTCAGGCCTCATAAAGGTAGCACTGACAGTAGAAAGGCCAGCTGGAATAGTGAGGCTCTATATTCACAAACACAGGTTTGTAAGCAGGGGCAAATGTCCTCACTCTCCACTCTTTCTTCACTGGCTGCTATGACCAGAGAGAACCAAAGTTAATTTCCTGAATAAATGTCTTCAAGACCAACTCTCTCCAGCCTCACCAAGTGGGGCTGCATTGAAGGTCAGCTATATTGGTATAGGCCAATGAGTCACCAAGTGTACGCCCTGTTCTCCTCTCCCTGTGGGGTGGCAACAGGGTCAGTGTTCTGAAAGTGCGTCTCCTCCTACTTGTTCAGGGCACTTTGTTCTTTCCTCTCTTTTAGGGATTTATATCCCAGAAGATGACCTGGCTGCCCCCAAGAGGTTCCGTGGCATTGGTATACGAATTGAGGATGATGTTGTAGTGACAGAGGACACACCGCTAATCCTTTCTGCAGACTGTCCCAAGGAGATCTACCACATTGAGCAGATCTGTGGCCACAGTTTGTGACCTTTCTCCTCTGCCTCTTCCAGCTTCCTCAGGTTCTCCAGGAAACACACTCCTGTGCACCCTGACAGATGTGTATTTTTGTAAATGGACATGGTTCCTGGGCAGTGAGAGTTGAGGGCTAGTTTGGAGGGTGTTGCTGCTCCAGGAACTGAGGGAGTTATGAGGGAGACCTTGGGCAATGTGGCTATTAAAATAAAGAGCCAATTATTTATATATCTAATTTTTGTTCTTGTTAGTGTCAATTCAACAAAGGATCCAGAGTGCAGGAAGTAGATTCCTTACCCTGCCACATAGATCCTTCCCCTTCTTCTCTGTTACATGGTGAGACAGTTTTGCTCAGCATAGCCCTTTGCCTGGCTCTGTCTACTTCGTAATGAATGGAATATAGCAGCTGTGATCCAGGCTCCAGGCAGATTGCTCTTTGCTAGCAGTTTTGCACCAGGGCAGTCAATCACAGATGTTCAAAATTAAAATTTCAAAGTCGTCTCAGAGGGCAGGCACAAGCTGGGGGACAACTTTGGCTTCTGCAGTAGCAATGACAAAAGGGGATTGGACAGATTAGCAATTGGGCTCAGGCTGTGGTAGTTTGTAGTCAGTGAGGAAGGGTTTTAGCATCTGAGGATAAAGATTCACAGAGGTCTTGTTCTAAGAGATGCAAGCAAGATCAGCAGTAGGGAGAAAGAGTCACCCTGTAGTAAGGCACATTGGAGGGTTTGGTTAATTGGGAGAAGGGACTAGACGGGGAGGGCACTCCTCATTGTGTGTAGGCTAGCGATTCATCCTGCACTCTTGCCTCCTTTCCTTTCCGCCTATATCTCAGTCCCAGCTTTGTAGTCTAATGTCACCACTGTTCCTCCATCTAGAGCTGAGCTCCCTGGATTAGACTGTATTGGTAACCCACTGGCTATGTCCTAGTTGAAATGCAGTACATGAATGGGCAGTTGTGTGCAGGACAGTTACATCTCCATCTGGGGCTTAAATAGCAGGTGCAAACAGCCTCAGCAATGCCCAGTGAACAGCGTGCAGCACATGGAGCAATTTGCCAGGAAAGGAGAAAACTCTTGTGAGGAATTCCAGGATGAACACCTGCCTTTTGGGACATTCCAAATGGAAAGAAAGGGCTCTTGGACAGTATCTGTGAGCCTGGTATAAATGTGATCCCTGGCAGGGCCAGATTAGTGGTATCAAAAGAAAAGGGTGGGTCCTAATTCCCCTCAGTTCCATCCACAGTTGAGTTCATTTTAGGCAGTGGCAGAAGAACCCACAATAGCCAAATGCAGTCTGTGTATTTTGGCCCTGTTTTGGCTACCAGCTGTCTATTTAATACATTGTGAAAAATGACAATGCACTTAATGCTCTTGCTTTCATTTCTACTTTCCTTTCCTTCACTCCAATCTCTTTTTTTTTTCCCTCTCAAGGATGCTTGTATATGCTTTATTTTGTGATATTCAGTATCTTCCCCTTTATTTCCTTTATTTTTCCTCTTTCTCTTTGTTATGCTTTAATTCCATGGCCCCCCTCCCCTTCCCAGTTTCACTCTTGCCTAATCTCCCAACTTCTCTCTATTAGTATGTCCTTTCAGACCTGAATAGATACCATGCTTATACCAATATAGCTGACCTTCAGTGCAGTATAAAAAATGAGCAGACAGATGGTAAAACCACCTACCCTAGGTTAACTTCACCAAAATCTGTATAGCGTTATTCCTGAAGGAATCAGTGATAAAACTACACATGTATATATTGCAGGCATGCAGGTGTGTCTGTGCAGCTATCCCAGGGCAGTTAATTGCTCATGGTAAACAGGTTATTACTTACTCCATTGCCAGTTACTGGTGAGGTGCTCTTACAGGTGTGTACTGCATGCAGCTGCAGTCTGGGAGAGCTGCAGTCATCTGTCAGATGTAAGCAGTGATCTGTCAGGCACTCAGTCTCTGTACCACTCACCCACAGCAAGTCTAGTCATTAGCCTATGGGAATGGAAGTCAGGACTCTCTCGAGTCCCTTTCTGGCTCTGCAGTGGCACCTTCTATACTTCTCTCTGCTGTACTTCCCTCATCTGCAAAATATATTTGACTTTCTCATGTGAATGCTGAACGTTTTGCTTAATTTACCTGACCTACTTGTTTTATTTAAAAAACAACAACACAAAAAGTGATAAATTAAGTGATTTTTATGTATCAGCCTATAGTCGTGTGAAGGAGCCTGCTATATTTTGATTGTGATCACTTTGTGAGGTGCTGATATGCTACAATGGTGAGTGCAACAAAAAGTTGAGGGGAGGGTGACAATACGTGGAAACAAAAATAATTGCTGCTTATGTGCTAATTGATAGTTACTTTGTACTTTCAGTCTGTAACAGCTAACAGTGTTATTCTAGACATGCCTTTTAGACCTCTCAGCTCATCCCTACAGGTAGCAACTCTGAAATTTGAATCTACATAAGTAGCTGTGGATAGTATTCACAGGGAAAGTTATTTGTGTGTGCCTAATCACACATCTGCCCGTGCACCTAATTACAAAGTTGATGATTGTGACTTTACATGTAAATAAACTTTTGAAATACAAAGTTATTTTTGCAAAACAGGTAGTTTGTAGAAAGTCATTTCTTTGCCATAAAGTCTCATAGGTGTAAGCACTTCTGGCAAGAATATTTTTTTCAGGGAGATAATAAACTACCCATAACTTGGAATAGATTAACATTATTAAATGCAGCCACACAGAAATGAATAATGACCCAAGAACATGGTTATGTGATTTCCAAAGAGAGGCAGGTCCTGGAAATGTTGGGAAATTAATTTTATGAGTCTAAATCATTCAGAACTGTTGTATATTGCGTAATTGATTTTTTAGGGTGTAAGGCTCTTCAAACCAGTTCCGAATATCCAGTTCAAGTTGTGATTTGTCCCATATTCTGCATTTCTTATGTACTTATTTTTTTCAGTCTAGGATTTCTTTTAGGAGGTGCTTTCTAATGCAGCTGCTTTTAATGTTTGTGATAAGAGTTATTCATGGTTGTTCTGAATGACTATGAAGGATGCCTTTCCCAGAATATAGTAAATACGCGTTTTATCAAACTAAAGTGTTGTGTTTCTTTCCAAGCTCTTATGAATGGATAACCATTGTGTACAGTCTGACATCTAAATATAGTTGATGTTGTCCCTTAAATATCATTTGCCTTGATAATTTATGAAAGATTCCTGGCCTTCTGAAACAAGACAGCAGGTACAGTGGGGAGGATTTTAAAACACTGTCATTTTAAATGGTTATTATCATAAAACACTAGATTCCCCATCCCCATTCATGCCATGACATGGCCTGTGATGGACAAAAAGCACGTAATCAGCAGTCTCATACAGCTGGGTTTATGGTCCATATCTTGTAGTGCAGAGAAGTTCATGGCAATATATTCTGCGAACAGAAATGGGCCTGTACTTTCATTTAACTGCTAAGCCCTTGGAAGCTTCAGTTAGCAAAGCATGCAATGTCTGCTTGCTTGGCAGTATTAGCTGGGGAGAGGTGACTCTGCCAGTTCCATTCTGAGCTGCCCTGGCTTCCAGATGTAATTCAAGAGGCTGACAGAGATGTAGAAAGCCCAACTGAACTGGAGTCTTAACTATACGAAGTTACCAGTCACCAAGTATTGAACTGATAGTTTCAAACCTGCAAGCACACTCAGGCTATCAGCCGCCTGTGCAACATTTCAGAGTTTTTACTGAAAGGGACCTACTTAAATTGCAGTTTCACAGATTTCACAGAAATGGCAAAAAACAGTGTTGCCCATGATTGCCAGGAAATCCTGGAAAATGCCCAAAAAATCAGCTCTGTATGACATGAGTAGGCTGCAAAAAACCCATTGTCTCCCTGCAACTTAGAAAGAGCCTTACTTATGGTTGGGGACTTTACCTACATTACTGTTTCACAGATTTCACAGAAACCACAACAAACAGCATTGTCCATGATTGCTGCAAAATCTGACGTTGGCCACGATTTCCCACAAAAATCAACCAAAAATACAAAGTGGTAGTGATGTAGACTGAATGAAGGTGCCCTCCACCAATAAGTGGTGAGGGGCAGAGCCACTGGGGCCCCTCTGCCAATCGGCGATGAGGGGTGGGGCCACTATGAAATGCCCACAAAACAGCTTGGTGTGCTGCAGAGAAGCCATGAAAAACTTGCAACTTAGGTAGGGCCCTACTTATGATCTTCACAGAATTCTTTATCTCTGGAATTCACTTCCCTTTCAGTCTGCAGGGGCCAAAGTGAAATGACTGAAGTGAAGTCTTAAGACTTCTTTGCATGGGAGTTTGGGTAAAGGAATGACTGAAGATGTGTTTGGGGAGATACTTTAATTAACAGAAAAAGTCTTGACTGAATCAGTGGAAGACAGGAGAATCCGAACTAACAATCACATACAGAAAAGCTTTCTGACTTGTAGTGACCAGAAGAGGCTTCTCTGCATTTCCATTTTATTTTCTGACAGAGCATCCCTCCTCTTTGCAGATAGGTGGCAGCTAGTACAGTCTGGCCAGAGCTCCCAGCCGCTTTTTCCAGGACTGAGTTGAAAATTTGGGCTAAAAACAGACAACCAGTTTAATGTGGCCCTGGGATATGATTTGGTTTACACACTAGGCTTACATGGCAATTAAGTCGAATTAGCTATGATTGTTTGACAAAGCGTTAATCTGAATAATTCACAGGTACTTAATGCGAGACATTGAGCTTGGTAAAGTCTGGATTCGATGAGAAACAAAACACTCTGATGCAAATCAAACCAGTTGTGTGTTTCTAGTCTTGGCAGCACTGGTCATGCTCCATTATTAAGGCCAAGAGGAGTTTGGCACAGATTCAGCCTATGTGAAAAAGACGGTACATCGCCGTGAAAACTCTAACATGTATTCTGAGAAGAGTGAAAGGGAGCGCAGGAGGGGAGGGGTAAGTTAGTGTGTGAGCAGCATGGACAACAGGAGAGTGGAGACACTGAGGTTTGTGTGCAGGGGAATATAGAGCATGTAGGGGAGGATGGCACAGCTGTGTGCAAGGGAATCGAGGTCAGGATGGTGCATACACTGACTGCTTTGCACTAGTCTCCAACATGAAGCAGCTATAAACCTAATCAGTAGCCAATATACCCAGACTAGTTTGTCCTGCTCCAGAATGGTAGAAAAGCAGAGTGCACTTGGTGAATCTGGTCCTGAAAGGTACAGTTTTAGAAATGATTTAAGGCTGGTAGTCCCATAACTTCAAATAATTTGAAATACAGGAATGTTCTCTGCTGTTCCTTCTCAGCATTCATATGTAACATTTTAACAGTTTTTTTTAAGAAAATAAAATTCCTAGATAAAGCCAACATTACAATGAAGTTTAAATTGAGAGGACGTATCAGTAATTTGGGTACTATGAAGTATAAGGATGCAGTAATTACAGGGAGAATAATGTTAAGAGATTGAAAACTAAGGTTAAAATTACAATAAATCCAAATATGCTAAAATGCAGAAGTGTGTGTGTGTGTGTGTGTGTGTATTCATTAATTCTAGCCACAAACTCTGAAATTACTTAATTATATAATTATTGCATAGTGGATTAATTTTAATCTGAGATTTTATTGTCCCATTAATTGTGTTAGGGCAGCTAGAGCCATACATGGAGGTTTTATTATTATGCAAATCTAAGTAAATATGGGTTCAAAATGTTTTTGAGCTCATTCCAACATCTTTATAATGTTTTACCCCATGTATTTTCAACCTCAACTTGGGTCTTAACTTCTTTAGTTTGTTTGCTTAGAAATTAATGGCTTTACACAAGAAGGGACTTTACTCCTACCTGGATAATTTTGCTCTGTACAAGGAAGAGGAAAAATAGATTTTCCCAGAGGTAGTGTCTGGATCTTCTCAGATTCATGATGAACAAGAAAGTTTCACAGAAACAGAGTAGTCCATAATGGACCCAGGGAGGAAAATCATCACTAGTCAATACAAAGTTGTTTTTTCAGAGGAACATTAACAAATGGGGATGGCTATCAAGAAAGCAAGTGGCACCAGAGATTAAATCCAGTCTCTGTTGAACCTCTTGCAAATATTGGTCTTATGCACAGATATGCTTGGGTGAACCAGAACTCACTGGCAGTGGCCAAAGTCCAACAGGCTGTTCTTTGGTCCCTCAAAACCATGGAGAATCAGATTTTTCAAAGGGGTTTCTTTCATTAGTGATCCAAACAGAGCAATTAGTGCAGCAGGCTCAGTTGAGTTGCAGAGAGGGATATGCATTCAGATCTCAACTCAATCCAGCAATTGAGCACTAGAAGTGAGTGTATTTATGCCCCAGGGAATTATGCAATTATATACCTCCATAATTTTGTGCATAAAACATATGTGCATAATCACATATGTGGGGCGGGGGGGCACCACCCCCTCTCCCACCCCATGGTGTGCAGCCCCTGTTGTTGGTGGCAGCAGCCAGTGGCAGGCCTTGGGGTGCTCCTGGCTGGAGCAGGCAGAGCCCCCAGTGGCATGCAGCTGAGTGCCTGGGCCTGCATGTGGTTCCTGCCTACAGTGCTGTGAGCCCCACATGCTGGCACTCAAGGTGTCCACCAGGAGGCTGAACTGGGCTGGCTCTGTGCCACCACATGCAGCCCCCAGGAT